TCAAGTAGATATTCCTTTTTTTTTTTTTTTTTCTAAATAGGTATTCTTGCAGTGTTTTTATCTTCTCAGGATCCCATCTCACCTGCATCTGAAGCCAATGAGTGCCCTTCTTGAGTGGGAGCTTGTACATCTTCCAATCCAGGTGTTTTTATGGTTGCTACTGGTAGCCGTGACCTGCTTCCTTGACCACACTCAGGCCAACCAGAGCACTTCCTAGAGGTTTTACATTCCTGAAGCTGAAGGGGGAGGCTTTTTTTTTTGTATTTTGTTTCTCTTACAACAGTGATTAAATACAGGGATTCAATTCCAGAGCTGTGCTGACATGTGGAGGCACCTGAGAGAATACAGCCATTGAACACACCCAAGCAGGCAAGGGATAGAGGGAGGGAATGCTGTTTGAGCTGTTGAATCCACTGAGTTCTGGCAGTCTACACTGGGCTTACATGGTTTGGTGACATGAGCAAATTTCCCATTTGGATATCTATAATTTAAAACCAAAGAATTCTTATTAATACATTTGTGACAAGTGGAAGACAAATGGGACCAAATTTTTAAAGTTAAGTGCATATAAATAGAGCTAAAAGGAAAATGAAGTCATATAACTTAAAATTTTGAAATTTGTATGCTCTTAGAACCTGCAATAGCAGTTCAAGGTTTTTGTTTTTTGTTTTTTGTTTTCTTAGCAGTTCAAGTTTGGAATTAAATCATGGTTATCATTTTGGTTGGAAAGGAAACCACCAATGCAAGGTGTTTTTATGAATGTTTTTTCTAGAAAAACTCATTTGCTTGAAATCGTCTAGAAATTAGTGCATATTTATATAAATTGTGATAATACTAAAGCATTATTTACATAGATAAAAAGCAACATCTTAATTTAGTAAAAAGCAAATTTCTTCTTCTCATTCCTTCAGCAGATAAATAGGAGATTTCTTTTCCTCTAAAAGCTAATTCTGGCCTAGTTTATAGGGCTGTTTTTTGGAATCCTTTAAGGACTTTCATGAATACATGAAGGCATCTTTTGAATAAAAGCCAAATCATAATTTGTCTAGAATGAATCAGGTAGCTACATAACTGACCAATTCAAGGCAATGTATCTAGATAATTCATAAACTAATATGGAGCCACTTAATTCCAGGATGATTTGACATGGGTAAGATTTAAATGTGAAAAAAAATGATCATTCTCTGAAAAAAACCATGAGAAAATTCTTAATGACTTTGCCTGGAAGGAGGCCTTCGTAAATAGGATCCTAAACCCAGAAGCCATAAAAGGAAACAAATACAGCTACACTTAAAAAAATAACCTGAACACTTCTGCTTCTGGAGAGGTAGAGTAGACCTATTTTTCTCTATTCCTTCTGCTAAGTAAAACTAAAATCCCTAGATATGATACATCAAACATAAATAAGAAGACTTCTCCGTAAGGTGGAGAAAGAAGGCAGACTGGCTAGGGACCTCAAGAGCCAGGCAGTGACATTCAGTTTGTTCTCTTGAGATTTTTTTTTTTTTTTTTTTTTTTTTTTTTATGCCTCATATATCCCAGTTGTGATGCTGAAGAATCTGGCAACATGGAAATACCAACACTAAAAATAAAAAGTCCCTAAAAAGGCCTGCTGGCCAGCCTTGTAGATTTGTGACTCAAGACTGCAACATCAACTCATTCTTGAATTTCTAGTCTACCTAGGCCTGCCCTACAAATTTTGGATTTGTCAGCTCCTAAAATGGCATGAACCAAGTCCTTGAATCTCTCTCTCTCTCTCCCCCCTTCTCTCTCTCTCTCTCTCTCTCTCTCTCTCTCTCTCACAATATATATATAGGATATAGATATATATAGGATATATATACATACAGTTTCTGTGGAAAGTTTCTTTGGAGAGCCCTAATGCACCAGGTGTCTTACTTTGGGCAGTTATATAACAAATTACGGTAAACTATGGCAGCTTAAACAATAAACATGTATTTCTCACAGTTCTGGAGGCCAGAAGAGATCAGAGTGCCAGCATGGTCAAGTTTTGGGTGAGTACCCTCTTCCTGGTCTACAGAGGGCCATCTTCTTACTCTGTCCTCACATGGTGGAAATAGGGTAGCCACCTCTCTGTCCTCTTAAAAGGGCACTAGTCCCCTTCATAAGGGCTCTATTCTCATGACCAAACTACCTCCCAAAGGCCCCGTCTCCAGATACCATCATGTTGAGGGGTAGGTTTCAATATACAAATGGGTGGGGGGGGGAAGGTGGGGACACAAACATTCACTCTGACATCAGATAGAGTTCATAAAGGACACAGCTGCTCTGGGGATAAGAATAACCATTAGATCAAGCACTGACTTTGAGAAAGCTACTCTACCTAACACCTTACATCCATTTATGTAACTTAATCCTTGAGATTTAATGAGTTAACTATGATTACCATTTAAAATTTTTTTTTTCAACATTTATTTATTTTTGGGACAGAGAGAGACAGAGCATGAACAGGGGAGGGGTAGAGAGAGAGGGAGACACAGAATCGGAAACAGGCTCCAGGCTCTGAGCCATCAGCCCAGAGCCCGACGCGGGGCTCGAACTCACGGAGCGTGAGATCGTGACCTGGCTGAAGTCGGACGCTTAACCGACTGCGCCACCCAGGCGCCCCTGATTACCATTTTAAATAAGAGGAAATGAAAGCTTACAGAAGTTAGCTAACTTGTCCAAATGACGACTAGTAAGTGGAAGAGCTAAACTGGGTCTGATTCCAGAGCTGCAGCTTTTAGCTGCTACCCTATCTACATCTATATAATATTTTCTCTTTCCTGGTCATGAGAGCTCCTGATGGATCCTAATATACTTTTGACCCACATCAGCTTGCATGTTCTCTTTTGCTTAAAACAAAGAATTTAATACCCTCTCAACTATGTGTTCCATTTTGGTAGAGTTTTAGGTTACCTCAGTAAGGATCATGTCTTTTATTTTGTGTTTCTGCCTAAATGGTGTTTTATTACAGTCACATCCACTCAGTAGCCCTTCATTACTGAATAAAAAACATTGAGGAGTGCATTTTTTTTTCCTTTTTTTCAACGTTTTATTTATTTTTGGGACAGAGAGAGACAGAGCATGAACGGGGGAGGGGCAGAGAGAGAGGGAGACACAGAATCGGAAACAGGCTCCAGGCTCTGAGCCATCAGCCCAGAGCCTGACGCGGGGCTCGAACTCACGGACCGCGAGATCGTGACCTGGCTGAAGTCGGACGCTTAACCGACTGTGCCACCCAGGCGCCCCTACAATATCTCATCTTAAAGTTACTGCAATCTATTCGAAATTAATACTGCTTATGCAATTTATGGGCCAGCTTAAATTGGATCCCAAATGTACCATTTTCATCATGAAATAGGTTGCTGTTCTACCTGCTCAACATTATTGCTTAGTGGGTCTGATAGTGCTCCACTGCTGATGAGTAACGTTAGTCAGACTTGCCTGATCTTCTTTGATCAGATTCTTAGTACTAGCATGGATGCAGTAGCATGCCTAAAACTGCTATTTGAACAATTACTAGCTCTCTGCTGAAGGTGGTATGGCCTTATTCAAGAACCTTTTGAGGCTGCACTGTGCCTTTCTTAGAGTTTGCCAGACTTCACAAATCATCCTTACCTACCATAAATACTTTTAGCACCATGGATTATACCAAGTTATTCTGTTATCTGTTGCTGTATCAAGGACGCTTAAATTACACTGAAATCGATCAGCTGGAAGCATTAATAATCATTATCTCATATAGTTTCTGTAGGCCGGAAACCCAGGAGCAGCTTAACTGAGTGGTTCTGGCTTGGGGTTTCTCAGGAGGGTGTGGTGCAGCTCTTGGCCTGGGCTGCAGTCATCTGAAGGTTTAATTAGATCTGGAGAATCTGCTCTCAGGATGGCTCTTTCTTATGGTTGTTGACAATAGGCCTCAGTCTCTCCCAGGCTTTTTGAAGTTGACCTCAGTTCCTCACCATTGAGCCTCTCCAGAGGATTGTGTAAGTGTCCTCATGACGTGGTAGCTGGCTTCTTGCAGAAGTGATCCAGGAGAGACAACAAGAGAACATTTCAGCTCTTACCGCAACCAAATCTTGTAAGCCATGCACTATAACTTTTGTCTTGCACCACTCGTCTACATCAATGCCCAAATCTCTGGTTTTTCTTTCCCCCAAGTAAATCCTCTGCCAAGGATCATGGCTGAATTTTCAGATTCTGGCTTTGTACAGAATCCTAAGTGCCCACAGGTGAAAGGAGGTTACAGATTCTCAAGGACGGTTCACTATTCCCTCTAGGGCTTTTGTCCCTTGCCTATTTTGATTTCAGCCCCACCTATAGTGCCCACACTGTGGTGGTGTCTCAGCACCACCAGATAGGAGGAAATGTCACTCTGCTCTTTGTAAGCTTTGATCTAGCTCTTTAGCTTAGCTGGGGAAAACCAGCAATGCATTTTGTCTCTCAGTACCAGGCAACTGCTAAAAGCTTTTCTGGTTCCTCTTTCCTCCAGCAGCAGGTTTCAGGATAGGCACAGCTCAGACCACTAGCCCACACGCAGAACTGGCAAATGCCTTCAAAGGTGAGATAAAACAACAATAGACTGGATAAAATAAATTGTGGTATGATCATACAATGGAATACCGTACAGCAATTAGAATGATAGGGCTATTGAGTAAAAGTAATTCAACTTTTGTGATTCCATTTATATGCCTTTCAAAGACACACACAATTAATTTATGGTTAAGAAATCATAACAGTGGCTAGGTAATAGGTAATAAGAGTGGTAACAGGAGTGAGGAGGCACTTCACGTGCTGGTGATAGTCTATTTCTTGTTCTAGGACTGCTGTTACCCGCACATGTTCATTTTTTGAAAACTGTTGAGCTGAACATTTAATGATTTGTGTACATTTCCATATATGTGCATTACTTCAGCAAAAATTTAAAATGTGTAGGAATTGTATTATTGGTGTTTCTGTTTACATTTACATATTTCAAATAATATACTAAATATACAATATACTTAATCACAGAGAAGTTTAATGAAGAACTAGAAACCACTAGGCTTTCTACAGATACCAGGGTTTATCTCAGTGTAATGGTGGCCATTTGAGCAGATTCTGTGCCTTTCTCATCAAGGTATTTTTCCTCTCGTGTTGGAACTGTGTCCCAGTTGAGGGAGGTAATAGCCATAGCTGATCTCTTCATGGACCTTACAAATACAGCATCTTCTGGGTCATCAAACACAGTTCTGCAAAAATGGCAGTCATGTCAGACAAAATGTCATTAAGCCAAAGTGAAATTTTGATTTAAACAAATAAATCTTGCCATTTGCAAGAACATGGATGGAACTAGAATGTATTACGCTAAGTGAAATGTTAGCTCAAGAAAGACAAATACAGAATTTCACTCATATGTGGAGTTTAAGAAACAAAACATGAACATAGGGGAAGGGAAGGAAAAATAAGATAAAAACTGACAGGGAGGCAAACCATAAGGGACTCTTAACTATAGAGAACAAACTGAGGGTCGTTGGAGAGAAGTCAGGTGGGGAGATGGGCTAAATGGGCATTAAGGAGGGCATTTCTTGGGATGAGCACTGGGTGTTATATGTAAATGATGAATCAGTAAATTCTACTCCGAAACCATTATTATACTATACGTTAACTAACTTGGATTTAAATTAAAAAATAGGGGCGCCTGGGTGGCGCAGTCGGTTAAGCGTCCGACTCAGCCAGGTCACGATCTCGTGGTCCGTGAGTTCGAGCCCCGCGTCAGGCTCTGGGCTGATGGCTCAGAGCCTGGAGCCTGTTTCCGATTCTGTGTCTCCCTCTCTCTCTGCCCCTCCCCCGTTCATGCTCTGTCTCTCTCTATCCCAAAAATAAATAAACGTTGGAAAAAAAAAATTAAAAAATAAATAAGGAAACAACCCCCCCCCATAAATGCCATATTTTTCTGTGTTATTGGTAGCATAGTACCACTAACAACTCTTCGCTTCTACTGATAAATGACTTTCAGACTAAGGAATGCTATTTTTATTGTTTATATTGTTTATTTTTTAAATACAGTTTTTAAATATATTTGGGATTGGCTATTCCACATTCATATGTTCATGATTTAAAACCAGTGTTAAATGAGATTATTAAACTATTCGTAGATGTCATATGCTTATTAGTATCTCAACTATATTTTATTAGAAAGTTGTTATTTCTCTACATTATGCTATATTTTATTATTTTTTAAATTTTTTGTTAAAAATTTTTTTTTTATTATTTTTGAGAGAGTGAGGGGGAAAGGTGTAGAGGGGAGGAGGGGAAGAAGAGGGTCCAAAGTGGGCTCTGTGCTGACAGCAGAGAGCCCAACATGGGGCTTGAACTCACGTACTGTGAGATCATGACCTGAACCGAAGCTGGATTCTTAACTGACTGAGCTACCCAGCTGCCCGTACATTATGCTATATTTTATAAGTGTTCTTGGCAATAATATTTTTCAATCCTGAATCCAAAGGAAAAAAAAAAATACCTAAGTGTAAAATTTAAAAAGAATTAATGACTTTAAAATTCATCAATGTTCTTGAATTTGAAATGTTTTTCATAGTTTAATGAAGTATTTACTTTTGAAAATATAAATTCCCATGAATATAAAATGTTAATCTACATATCTGTTTTCACTGAACATATTTAGAGGAACATTAAACATTTGTAATTTGCTAATAATTCTTAGGTTTTATTTTTTATGCACCAAATCAGCTTTTCATTTATTTCTGGTTATAATAATAATATTAAAAACCTAAATATGTAAAATATGAATAAATAGCTTGAACTTATTTATCACAGAAAGACAGAAGTTTTTCTCATCTATTGAAGAGTTAGTCATTTTTTAACTCATTAAAATCTATTTGGGAAATGAAGATAATTTAAAGTCAATACAATTATGAAATAATTTGATAATAAAAGTAAAGTTAAAAAAATCACTTACTTATCTACATTATTCGCAAATGAAAAATCTATAAAAAAAATACATTTCTAAGTTAGTATTTTCCAAATAATTATTCAGCTTTTTAAAACAGTAAAACTGTGCTATAAAGGAAAAGTCTAGAGCACAACTCTCTGATTTTTGAATGACCATTTAGATAAATAATTCAATCCATCAAAAATGCCTTGATGCTTGAGCTCAAATTGAACTTTTCTTAGTTATAGTGCCTTAGGTTTGCCTTAGGTTTGAAGCAAGTTCTTTAATTCAATACAGTTCTCAAAACTCTGAGAACAGAATGCTTAATCAATTAAGTTACCAGTGGAATCCAAGTGGGGATTTTTGTAATTATGATATTGAGTCTCATGTGCAGAAAGTGATCCTTTTTCTCAGATAGACACATGAATCTATAAATGGACTACCAGACCAAATGAGGAGAACTATTTAGGGCAGTTTAAACCTTTTGAATTCTTGGCATTAACTTCAAAGAAATAGAATAAACAAATCCTAGATCACAAGAATCTCCATCTTCCCTAGCTTTGGAGCTCAAAGGCTAGTCCACAAAGCCGGGATTTCTTATGGTATCTTCCAGAGACTGTCATTGCTTTGTTCATTCCTCTCCAGAGGCCTGGTGCCAGGCCAGACGTGGAATGTACCAGCACCTGTTGGGCCACCAAAGCCCACAATACCACAAGCAGCAGGGAGCACATAGCCCCTGCCTTAGAGGAGTTCATGGAATTGTTCCCTTCACAAATGGCTGATCATTCCATTTCTGATTTCCCCAGTCTCTCTTGCTGCATTTTTTTAAGAATTTACATTTTACTTACTCATTTATTTATTTATTTATACGTAATCTCTATACCCATCATGGGGCTCGAACTCACGACCCTGTGATCAAGAGTCCTGTGCTCTTCTGACTGAGCCAGCCAGGCACCCCTTCTATATGTTTTAATTATAAAATGCTCATTTTGCTGATAATGAATATAAACTAGAAAATAGTAGAAAGTGAAATCTTCCTTTGATCTTTCTTATTCCTCTTACCAGAGGGATCACTATTAAGAGTTTTGTATGTAGATTTCCAGCCTCCTATGTGCATGCACATGTGTACTCACATATGTGAACTCAGTTCCAATTTTGTCATACTCTGCATTTTATTAGTCCATGATGTATTTTTCTTATACTCAATACCCCATGGAATAATTCTAAAGTGCAATGGTTCATGTTGTAGGAATGTTCCATCACTTAATATTCTTCTATGAAGGACCATTCAGGGTTTTCATTATTTTTTCTTTTACTTAGAATGTTTCATTGAGCAGCTTTATACATAAATCTTTTTTTTTTATGTGCAAATACTTTTGCAAAAGAGGCTTCAAATTTAAATGCTGTTTTGAATGGTTTGCACATTTTATATGTTGGTGGATGCTGCCATATGGCCAAGAAGGTTAAACTAATTTACACTCCCACCAATAATTTATAAGTTGTGCTTTTTTCTCCCTTAATCTTTGCTAACCTTCTCAACCTTTGCATATCTGCAGGACAAAATTGATATCTCATTGTTTTATTTTCCATTTATTTGCTCACTAGTAAGGCTGATGATGAGACATCACATTTATTTCCTTCTCTAAATGTCTTGTTCATAGCTTTTGTCACTTTTTTTTAAAATTTGGAGTTTACAAATTGATTTATAGGAACCCTTTAATATAATAGGAATTAGCTTTTGCCTATTGTACATATTGCAAAGATTTTCTTTTAATTTTGTTCCTATATCATATAATGGTTGTCATTTTTATGTAGTTTAAATCTGTCAACTTTTCATTTTTATGGCCCTGAGTTTTGTGTAAAGCTTTGATTGTACTTCGTCTCCTTGGGATTATAAAAGTTTTTTTTTCCCCCCCATGTAATTTTCAATTCATTTATATTTAGATATTTAATCTCTCTGGAATTTATTTTTCCTTATGATGTCTCCTGAAGAAAGTGGTTTTCGTTTATTTCTTTGGCGCAGGACTGCTCCGTGGCACAACTCCAGTGGCCCCCAGTCATGGCTTCCAAAACCTGCTCTGCTGACTGTTGATTTTTGCCTTCACAAATTCTTCTGACTCTGCAGTTTTCTCAATTGCCAACCAATCTCGAGTTCTCACATTGACCCCCTGGTACCTCTCTGAGGCTTCATGTACACATAGCACTTGGCATTTGCTTTCCTGGATGTGCCTCATGTCGTTGCTACTCAGAGTCAGAGATGTTTTTAAGGCCTGGATTCCCAAGGCTTCGATCCCCCAGCTCAAAAGTTTTAATTTTTACTTTTGTCTGGATTCTGGCCTCCCTGTCTTATATCTGGATTCGCCCACTCTGGTGAACTATCCATTTACTAAATAGTCTACATGAATTTTGTTGTTGTTGTTGTTGTTTTCTTCTTCTCTCTTCCTGAGTAACACGCCTCAGCTGCTAGGCCTAGGCTCTGGGACATCCTCCTCGGCTTGGTCTTAGCCCTGCAGTTCCATCTTGTTTGGGGCAGAAGAGCAAATACAGAAATCCAGCAGTTTTACTTAGACCACTACTAGTCATTTAAAAATGTTATTGATATTTTCATTTATTTTAATCTCCCTTAATGTCTATCCCTATTTAGGTAGTTGGTGGGAAATCCCCCAATGTCTACTTCCTTAAAGCCGTATAAAAGCCCACAGCGTTTTGATTCTGAAGTTATTGGTGATCATGCAATAAGCATGATAATTAATGGAAATCGGTGCATGTCTTTTACCCATTTTACAAGGATGGATAGGTGGCATTTGAAGAAACTACAAGTTGACCTTACTTCTCAAGCTGTTAGAATATAATTGGTTTCTTTCCCAGTATAAGGTTAAAGATAATGAAATCAAAACGTGGTGTTAAAATTACCTTATGAACAATTTTAAGTATGGTTTCTTCCCAGTTAAAGAATTCAGAGTCCTAAATGTGCATGTCACAGCAAGATGAGATTTATATCAAAACAAATATAGAAACTATAAAACTGTAAGACATATTTTAAAAAACTTACATAGTGGGTTTTATTAGTTTCATTGTACGTGTTCAGTTATTAAGATAAGCTAAAGTAAGCCAGGCTAAAGTATTGGGCTAAAAATACTATTTAGTTGCTCTGATATATTGGCATTTTGTAGGAAATGAGTAGATTAGGGTCATCCTAAGTGTTAGGAGGGCTATAGGTAACATAGCTATGAATTCAGAAGAACAACTCTCCGGTGCAGTGAAACACTCTCCGTATTCTTTCTTCTTCTGATTTCATTTTTGGAGGTTTAATATGAAAAGTAATAAAGAGAACAAAAGGATAATAGTTTTATCTGCAATCTCGCACTAAAGAAAGGTAAAGTGCTAAGGGTAGTGTTCAACCGTCTTCCTCATACTTGTAATAACAGTAGCGCTGAAAAACAGATGGAATGTCTTACATTGTTTTTAAGAGTGTGTTACCTATTTTTAAGAGTGGAGATTTTCTATCCAGAGATTCACTTCCTGCCATAGCATGGCTCACTTGCACTAATCTGATAACATTCAGTTTGGGTATCTTACATGAAGTGAAAGAAAAACCTAGGAGGAGACTAATAGAACAGTTCAGTTTTTATCACGTCCTTCATATGTGTCAGATCAGGTGGTGGCAGTGTGTGTATATAATGAGTGTGTGTATAAGAGTCGTGACAGCCAGAGGAAGATATTGTCTGTTTTAAAATATCTTTAAAATATCCCTAGTTTTAAAAATCAGAAAGCTGAAACAAATTAGGGTCAAGATTAATAAAACTTCTACTTACTAGCACAGCTGGTATTCAAACCTAGGGGGAATCTGATCCCAAAGCTTGTGTTCTTGCCTCTATGCTAGTTGTTCTCTAACTGGGGTGTATATCAGAGTCACCTGAAAGGCTTGTTAAAACAGCTTTCTGGGTCCCATCTTTGAGTTTCTAATTTAGTCGATCTCTTTTGGGACAAGAATTTGTATTGGTCACAAGTTCTTATGCGATGTTGCTGTTACTGGTTTAGGAACCACACTTTGAGAACCACTGCTCTACACTCTACTGCATCTAGAACATGTCCTATGGACATTTCTTCCATTCTCTGGGACATGCAGTGGGTAAAGGGACAAGTTTAATGACATCTTGTGGAAACAGTCATACAAATTGATGCATTCTACAATTTAACTGGCCTGGTCCCTAAAAGAGTCATGGAAACAAATTGCAAAATTTTTAAATTTAAAAAGAGTAAAGGTCCATAACAACCACATGTTGTTAGGAAATTTAATTGGATTCTGGTTTGAAAGAGCAGCTATAGCAGCCATCTTGGAACAACTGGGAACATTTGAATATGTATTATTATGTATTAAATAGTATGAGTACACTCATAGTTAGTTTTTTAGGTATGATAATGTCATTGGGGCTATATAGAAGAATGCCCTTATTTTTAAACTTAGAGGCTAAATTATTTAGAAGTGAAGAGTCGTGATACCTGTTACTGAAACATCTAAATGGTTCAGTGGTATTTTGAGGCTTTCCAGTTAACATGGAGATTGGGGATGGCCAATCAGATGTAAGTAGAAGCTTCTGAGGAGGTCGTTCTTGAATAAAAAGGCAAAGCCTCATTTATGAAGGGTGGTGAATCCGACAGAATATTAACAATTATTGAATATGTAAGTGACATTCTTTCAACTTTTCCTATGTTTTGAAATTTTCACATTAAAAAGTTGATAGGAAAGTCTTAATTTTGCCATTCTTTTCCTCTTGCTCATTTAAAAAAATGTTTTATTTTTGATAGCGCGTGTAAGCATGAGTGGGGGAGAGGGAGAGAGAGAGAGAGGGAGACAGAGGATCTGAGGCCAGCTCTGTGCTGACAGAAGAGAGATGGATGCAGGGGTCGAACCAGGGAACTGTGAGATCATGACCTGAGTTGAAGTTGGATGCTTAGCTGACTGAGCCACTCAGGTATCCCTCTTGCTCATTTTTGACTAGCTTAGCTAGTTGTAGAATTTTTGGTTGACAATTACTTTTCCTCAGCATTTTAAAAGCATTGGATCTGGGGCACCTGGGTGGCTCAGTCAGTTAAGCATGTGACTTCGGCTCAGGTCATGATCTCGTGGTCCATGAGTTCGAGCCCCGTGTCGGGCTCTGTGCTGACAGTTCAGAGCCTAGAGCCTGCTTGAGATTCTGACTCCCTCGCTCTCAGCCCCTCCCCCGCTCATGCTTTGTCACTCTCTGGCTCTCAAAAATAAATAAACATTAAAAAAAAATTTTCTTTTTTAAAGGCATTGGATCACTGTCTTCTGACTTCCATAATTGCAGTTGGGAAGTTTATTGTGAATCTATAACTTATTATGTTATAGGTAATCTACATTTTCATTCTATTTTTAGATCATTTTGCCTTTGGTGTGGATTTTTGACATTGTTATATGTTATTTATGTCTTTGGATTAATTTTCTATGGTAAATCTAAAGGTTCATATCATTTGTCAAATTTGGAAAATCCTCAGTTGTTATCACCTCAAACATCAACTTATGCCCAATTTCTCTATTGTTTTCCTTCAGGATTACTAAACTGATGCTGGACCTTCTGTTTCTAATGTCTCCTTGTCTCAACAGCTAATTAATATTTTCTATCTCTTGCTTTCTCTATACTACATTCTGGGTAATTTCTTCAAAATCTTTTTCCATTTTAATATTTTTTTCCTTCATTTCTAGAAATTTTTTTTCTTTTTTTTTGCTCGTGGTTTTGCAAATCTATGTCATCTCTTTGGCACAGTGTCATGAGTAAAAGGGTTTTGTCTTTGCATCTTTTTTGTACCTCCTTGTGAGGCCTGGCTGTATAGCAGTCACCTTGTAACCATAAATCACACTATGACTAGAACAAAAGATAGATGTATTCTTAAATACTGATGATATCATTGAACTTTGCACTAACCCTAAACACCCTCTCTTTGTACTATTTGCTGTGTGAGAAAAATCTCTATTTGCTTAAGTCAGTGAAGTTGGATTGCTGTTACATGTAAGAAATTAATTTCGGGGCGCCTGGGTGGCGCAGTCGGTTGAGCGTCCGACTTCAGCCAGGTCACGATCTCGCGGTCCGTGAGTTCGAGCCCCGCGTCAGGCTCTGGGCTGATGGCTCAGAACCTGGAGCCTGTTTCTGATTCTGTGTCTCCCTCTCTCTCTGCCCCTCCCCCGTTCATGCTCTGTCTCTCTCTGTCCCAAAAATAAATAAATGTTGAAAAAAAAATTAAAAAAAAAAAGAAAGAAATTAATTTCTAACGAAACATCACTGAAAATATTCAAATTCTACTTGTGTATAATGAGTGTGTGTATATGAATCCAACCTAAATAGTAACAGTGATTATTTCTGGGTGAAGGAATTATAGATGATCTTTATTTCTTAATATTTTTGCCATATTATCAACAACTTATAGCTTTAATTGGTGAAATTGTCCAGTGATAGTGGTAATAATAATAAACAAAGCTTATTTACTGAGCCTTTTATACTCACTAGATACTAAAGGAAGAATTTCAAGGTAATATCTCATTATTATCACATTACCTCATTTAATTTAATATACATAAACAGATAAAATTGCATATCACTTTAATTGGACTAATAAAATTGGAGAATATTTATTCACCATGTAGGGGCTTAGCTTATTGTCAATTGCAGCCATTATTATTATAATCAAAGTAACTAAAAGTCTGAGGAATTTTAATTTCATTTTTCTTCTGTTTTCAAAATACCTGGAGGTATTCTCTGAGCTGGTTTTTGCTTAAATGGTGATCTAGGATTCCAGGAGGCATCTACTTTTCCTCTGAATGCTATTGATTGAACAATATGAGCCTTTTTGTGATTAAAAATGGTGATCATTGATCTTCTTTCCTTCTCTGTAACTTCTGACAAATGCAAATAGTAATGTTACTTCGTAGCATTATAGAGAAGCAGAGAGATTCAGAAGATAATTGAACACTTGGAAAAATGTGTTTATCTGAACTATGTCATATGTGAACATCCTGTCAGAACTGCAAAGGGCTATCACAGTTATTTCCTTGGAGGTAAAAGAGGCCCCCTAAAGGGTAAAATGTAACATGGTGAGGTTATTTTTGTGGTTCATATAAATGGACATACTAGTTCATCTACAATGTCTAAAGGTGTATTCACAAAGAAATTATCATTGATTATATGTGTCTTAATATATATATTTACAGGATTTCAAAGAAAACGATTTTTAGAACTTAAATAGGCCTTAAGAGATTTAGTCCATTTCTCTCATTTTTGAGATAAAACACCAAAATACTGGGGATAAATGATTTGGCATCCAACACATTTATGTCAAAATCAGGGCAAGGAGACCAATCCTTATGCTCAGTTAGATGGCCTTTTCAATACAGTGATCAAGAGAAATAATTCCTAAGCTAGGGAAAATTTCAGAGCAAACATTTTGAAAATAAATAATTGAAAGTCCATTTATAAAGAAAATTATTTTCAAAGACTTTCACATTTTTCAGCTAGTGAACTAGAAGACCGCCTTTCACTTATTTCTCTGCAAGAGGTGTCCTTACGATTTCGATCAAGCAACTCTACTCCCGGAAGGTGGTAGATTATATATAAACGGTACAGGTTATATTGGCACAAAGGGTTTTGGTAGAGACCTGCAAAGAGAGAATCCAAGTTAAGATGTCAGATTTCAAAACAGGTTTCATGTATCACTTGCTAAAATATGGGAAATTGCAGAATTAATACGAAACATAAGAACATGTAAAACTCTGCTCCATGGACCAAACCAATGGCCCCACTAAAACTCACTTTTCAGAGCGGCCTGTTTTTTCCCATTTGTTAAATACACTCATCCAACAAATATTTCCTGAGTGCTTACTGTATACTAAGAATGGTCCTAGGTGCTGGGGACATAGCGTCTACGCCATCTACCACAAATGATGAAAATTTTAACATGGCCATAAGTTAATTAGCAAAGAAACGACAAGATATCAGCTCTGCGGAGGCCTTAATGCTGCTGTCTGCTGAAGTATTTGTTCCCTCGGTTCTCTTCCAGTCTCAAAGGTCACAAAGGTGGCTGTGTGGAGACGGGCAGAGATGCAGTACACTGATCTAATATCGTGTTCTTCCTCCACTTTAAACCATTGCACGCAGTTCAGATTACATAAATACCAGTGGCGGCTTCAGAGCTCAGCAGGAGCAGAGCTGAACAGGTGCTGATCTTGCGTCTTGTTTACCTCTGGCCAGAAGCACGTGCTTCTGATTTCCGTTATGCAGGTGCTGCGATACCTAATGAATCATGCTGTCTAGTACAGTGGCCGGAGGTGGGAGGCAAGCGCATGTGGAAGAGCTCCTGGCGTTTCTGACGTCACATACTTTAGACATCAGCGTGCAGGTGCATTTAAAAAATTTTTCAACTAAAGTGAGAGTTTTATTTTCGTGGAAAGAGTGAAGTATCTTCCCTCTTCTTCCCTAGGTGTGTGAAACAGGGTTACTTTAATACAATGTGAAAGAAAGCTTTCATGATTTCCACTTGAATATCTTTAGCTACTGGATTCTGCCAACGTGCAATTTCTAGAAAACCACTTCGGGAAGATACATGTGGTGAGGAGAACCACTAGGTGGCAGTAGTAGAAAGAGTTCCAGCCGTTGTGCGACCACATCGCTATCACAAAATGGGGCTCGTGTACTGTACATGTTAAATTTAGGAGTAGTGCTCTAGCATTGGACTGTAAAATACAGAGACGCTTGATAAAAGCATGAAAACCTTAAGCATCGTAAGCCCAGGAAAGAACAGTTGGCAAACATGAAGAAGGTGGGGGAGTGCTTCAAAGACAATGAACTATTTTGATAAAAACTGAAAAAGTTGATCATCTGGATGTTTTCCCTGTAGGTTATAAAACATTTTGATATTTATCATATAAACACAAACTTTTCTGGCTAATGAAACCATTACATGTAGCTATTCCCTGTGGAAAACTTGAGCGTTACAGGGACTTAAAGTAGGCAGTGGAAGACACCTGGTACATAATAAACAGGAGCAATCAGAATGAGGAAGGCATAAAAGAAAATGTAGATCCAGGAGCAACAAAGAATTTAAAAGAAAGGAAATATGTATGCATTGAGGGAAATAAGAGGAAAAAATGAAACGGAAAATTTTCAAGATTTCTTGAGTGACAAAAATGGTTTAAATTGTTAACTTGAAAGCAATTTAAAGTGGTGACAAATAATTATTACTGCTGAACAGGGAATAGGACAGATGTACATTAAACCAGTAATAAGGACAGGTTTTAAAAGATCCACAGAGATCATGCATTGGGGCCAGAAAAAGAACATCCTTCAAGGATGTAAAAGCAAAACACAATTGTTTTTAATGAGAGTTTAGGAGGAAGAAAAAGTCACAGATGCTTCAGTGCGGAAGCCTCTTCTTTGGTTACCGTGTTGGAGAATCACATCTGATGCTTCATAACCCTATCGTACATTAAAGGGGGGGGGGGGGATAGTCTGCCGTCGCCTGTGATGTAAATCGAAAATGTAGCTATAACGTTTCCTCTTGGTACACCTTTCCCATTCTCTTTTCCCTCTGAGAACATTCCTATTTCATTTCTTTTGGCTTTTTTTCCTAGCCTTCAGTTAAGTAACTTCTTTATGTAAATTGAAAACCAAGCTTCAGCTCAACAAAACATACAATTTAGATTTACTGCTGTTAGATTACTTATAAAGAAGGTGTCTCAATACTGAAGACTTGATGCGTTCATTGTGGCTCACCATTTATCTCATTCTAAAGTAAAATCTAGGTGAGAGCAAGTCAGAACGCTGGGCTCTTAGCCCAGCCTCTGCTTAAATTAACTTTAAAAAATAGAATTAAATCGTTTGAGAGGCATTTCATCTTTACGATTTTTCACTTTGTTTTTCCTTGCTGTTAAGTTTTAGAAAGAAGCAATCTTATTTCCAAACTCTTTTTTCCCCCCTCCATACTATTAAACACTCAACATTTTGGATTTATGAGTTTGGGATTGATGCTGTAAAATTACCATAAATTAAGTTTCTAAGATATGAAATCAGTTTCCTGTGTCTGAAAGTTCTGAAAGCCTTCCATGATGTATGGGTACATTCCTTTAGAAACTATGAAGCAAAATTGCTTACACTTTCACTTTCAATAGGTTAATACTATTTAATCCACTTTCCCTCTAGGCTACTTATAGAGTACACCTCGGTGGCGCCAGCACTGTCTTGCTTATCTTAATTTGGGATTCTGAGTCTCAGCAATTTACATCTATCCAATAATATATCAAAATGTCTTTACTACCTTACTGCACAGCTTGAATTACATGAGTCACATGTACGAAGCTACTCCTTGAAACAGAAGAGAAAAAAGTTATCTAAATAATTGGCTTCAGTTAATTTTTTAAAACTTTTAAAGCTAAATTGAAAACCGTCATTTAAATGAACATTAAGGGTTTTAAGACCCCCTTTGAAGAAAGTTGATGTGATTAATAATGTACCAACATGTTCGCTTAATAGATGGGGAAAATGACACAGGGAAGTTAAAAGCAGTTATGTTCTGTGTCTGTGCAGAACAGCCTGCAGAAGCGAGTTCAGCTGGCAATGGTCACACACTAAGATTCTGAGGTTCTGGCTCAAGGTTACTTAGCAAGGGCAGCATCTCCGTTGTTTACCACCATCTTTAACAAGATCTGTGGGCCACTGCACACCACATGCTCATATTGAATATGGAAATCATCCCTGATTATTAAAAGGCAAACCTGGACTAAAGTAGGGGATGAAGACAGTAGAGGGGTCAGAATATTCTCTTCTTCAAGACAAACAGCAAAGACCCAGTTGGCTCTTGTTATTGGATGGATTGTTTTGTTGTTTGGGAGGGGTGGTCCTGATGGGGTTTGGAGGGGTGGCAGGCGTTCGGAGCTGATGGCCAAGAAAGAATTTTTGAAGACATTTTTGGTGCGAAAAGGTGATTTTTATTAAGGCTCGGGGACAGGACCTGTGGGCAGAAAGAGCTGCACTGGGGTTGTGAAGAATGACTGCTTATAGACTGTGGAGTTGGGAGAGATGAAGTCAGGAGGAAGTTTCTTAAAGGGTTTCCATATGCTAAAGAAGGTTCATTTACTGGAGGCCTAGCTTTTGTCAAGCTGAGGTCGTTTCTTCCTCTAGCAAAGCTTAATCATTGAGACGGTAGGGAGTTCCTGGAGAAGGCTATCGATAAGATTGCTTTTTTTTTTTTTTTTTTAATTTACTAAGATATTTGTAAACTGATGGAGACTGTTAGTGTTAACTGTTTGTTTTCTGCCCTTTCCTTTGTTCTTGGGCAGCTGGGAGTGCCTGGGGAATGTCACATCCCACCTGGGGGCCCAGGTGGTGTAGGTGGTGTCAGCTTGCCTTACACTCCCTCATCAATCCCACTTGAGCCATTTCAGATAGAGGCTCGAAGGCAGAGGCCATCAAGATCATAGCCCCACCCTGATCTCAGTGTCCCTCTTCAGCCCCTGTCTATTTGCCATCTGCAGTGGACAGGGGCCAAGTGGAAAAGGATAGAAAACGTTGAAGATGGAGTCTGAAGAAAATGGAGACCATCTCTTGAAAGGGTCACTCTGTCTCTAATGGTGAATCCATAAAGGGCTTCTGGGAAGCAAATCTTAAAAATTATGCAATGGTGGGGCGCCTGGGTGGCTCAGACGGGTTAAGCGTCTGACTTCAGTTCAGGTTCATGAGTTCGAGCCCCGCGTTGGGCTCTGTGCTGACAGTTCAGAGCCTGGAGTCTGCTTCTGATTCTGTCTCCCTCTCTCTGCCCTTCCCCTGCTCATGCTCTGTCTCTCTCTGTCTCTGTCTCTCTCCCAAAAATAAATAAACATTAATAAAAAAAGTATTTAGAAACTTAGGCAATGCAGGTGTCTGAATGTACTTCCCAATAGTGGAGCTTAACGAAACAAAAAAATTGAGAGAAATGAGGAGAGTGAAAGTTTAGGAACAGCAGAATGGAAGTATTTTGTGGCTGCTGCTCGTGGTGTTTTCCTGCTGTGTGCTGGGAGAGAGGCAGGGGGACTGAAGGTCAGGGAACATCATTAGCCAGAAAATGGGTCTTTGAAACACGTAGCTCCTGATTTAGAAAGAGTTCACAGAAGGGAGGGAAGAGGAACATGGAGTTGGAGAGGGAGGGTGTGGAAAGGTAGACCGCCTGGAGAGAAGAGGTGGGGCCCTCCTGACTCAGCCTGGAAGTCAGGAATTCCAGTTTCCAGGACCTCACACTCGGCAGCTGGGGTAGGCCTCCCTGAAGCTCCGGGCCCTGTGTCTCCTGGGCCATCTCTTGGCAATCCTCCTCTTAAACGCCAAAGGAGGGGAAAATGCCGAAATGGATTAGAAGTTTCCCCTCCAGGCTATTTTCTCACCCTCTGAAGAACTTGTAACTGGAGTGGAATAATAACAACACTTTAGCATTTTATACGGTTTTACAACTTGAAAAGGCAAAAATGTTAACACTTGAAAATATATGGATCTCTCATTTTAATTAATGAGCTGAATCTAATCTGTGATTGCAAATGAGGCTCAGAGAAACTTAATCTGAGCACATTACTGCACAAATGCAATTAGTAGTCTAGTACGTGTGAGACTTTTTCCCATATAATATCTTCAACCAAAATGGGGCAAGTGTTCAAAGTGTGCATATTTGCTACCAAAGCTTTTCTACAAATGTTTTTTTTTGGGTAATTGGACATAGCATTCTCTCCCTTTCAAGAAATGATCCCACTACAAGATTCTCATTTGGAACAATTGTAGTCGTGTAACTTGAATTAGATGGCCATGACTGTAAGTAGAGGTCGCTTCAACTGTTGTGACAGGAAATGATAAGGACATTATACGACCAGGCTGGCCAACCTAAAGAACTAGAAAAGGCAACCCACCTCAGGGCCGACACAACTCTATGCTCACATACTTGCTTAACAAGGGAGACGCAGGCTGGATTTCAGACTCCACTCACTTCTGCACCAAGCACTTTGTTCAGGGCATAATCCTGTTGACTCCGATAAGACAACCTTGATTGGTAACTTCCAAATCTTGTCTTGTAAAATAAATCTGCTTAAATTATTGAGTTCTTACATTTAGCAAATCGTCCATTTAGTTGCACATCAAGTTCCTTCTGCTCTCTAAGAAATATTTAGGCTGAAAGTTATAAAACCATAAGCTCCAGACGGGGTCTTTTTTGTTTACTTTTGTGTTTCCGTGTAGCAGAGGGTCATATAGTGAATGCATGATAAATATTTATTGAATGAATGAATGAATAAATAAATGGTAAATATTTATTAAACAAGTGAATGGATTGATGCTAAACAAAGAAACAAGGCATGAGTTTAAATGTTAACATTTCTTAGGAGTTGGGTTAAGTCTCTGAGACCTGTGTGCCCACCATTAAAGGGGCAATCATTCTAATCAGATCATAGGATTTCTGTGAAGATTTAAATGAGACCATGATAAGAAAGCATATTCTCAACAGGAAAGACATTCAAATATGTTGTGATTATAATGATTATTATTTAAAATGTCATTTTTTAAAAAAGTAGGCTTCCTGTCCAGCACAGAGCCTAAAGCAGGTCTTGAGCTCAAGATCCTGAGATTAAGACCTGAGCTGAGATCAAGAAGTCGGGTGCTTAACTGACTGAGCCACCCAGGTGCCCCAAGTTGTTTTTCAAATCTATTTACAACTTAGCAGAATTTTCTAGACTGCATGCATCTCAATTCATTATGTAATTTACATAAACCACAGTAATACCATTTTTGTTTTTATTGCTGCTTCAAAATAACATTAATGTCAAGAAATGCTTTTTCAAAACATGTCTGACAGAGTTAGCTTACTATTTCAGATAATCTTAAGGGCTAGCTATTAGCCCATTTTATGGAAAAATGAAGGGAAGTGAGAGTTCCAGATCAGTCGTTTAATCCCAGAAACATTTGTTCCTCACAAAAGGGCCAGATAATTCCAATATGCAGGCCAATCCTGACTATTTCACAGACCTTATCACATTTCATAAATAAGCCTGGAGTTATTTGCATGTTAAAAGATGTCTGAGGGGGCAAGACTGCCATGTTGCCAGCTCCAGGGGACAGCATTCAGTGTGTAGGCAATATCAATGCACCCCTTGGACCTGTGCTGTGCAAGAGCTCTGAGAAGAACAAGACAGGAAGTAACCAAAGATGATGAAAACCTAAATAGAGGAAGCAGAAAAGAAAGGGTGGTGATAGATATGCATTAACTAGTGAGTGGGTGAGGATAATAAGGGAGGCCAAATGGTCTTGACCAACTGCCCAGTTTGTGGCCCGAGTTGGTGTGCTGAGGGGAGGGATGGGGTGTAGGAGTCAACTTATATTACTGTTTGTTTCCTAAACTTATATTACTGTTTGTTTCCTAAACATCTGTCTTCAACTTCTTTCCAAAGGGAAAATCAACAAGATTTTAGATTAACAATGACAACAACAACAAAACATAGAGCTCACATGAACTTGGTGTCATTTTAACATTGGGGTTTGAACAACCTACCTATGAGCACCTAAGTCATTTTTCCCCAATACAGTAGGTGTAACTGATTAGCACTGAAAATATATGAAAACTTTAATTACTCTATGAATTGATCTGATCAGAATCTCCACCATCAACACCATTTTACACATACTCAAAACACTGTTTCAGGCAAGTCTGAGAAATAAATAGAAAATAAATAGGAAAAAAACACATCAACTTCACGACATTATGTAAACAAGTCTCCAAACTCTAAAGTTTGAAAGCCCACTCATCGGGCTGAGTGTCTTTTCCCTTGGTACACCCAAAATAATTTGTCTTCTGTTCTACCTGTGTACAGGTTATTTACCCTTCAAGAGTATAAGCTTATTAGGAATGCAAGCCGGTGCAGCCACTCTGAAAAACAGTATGGAGGTTCTTCAAAAAACTAAAAATAGAACTACCTACGATCCAGCAACTGCACTACTAGGTATTTATCCAAGGAACACAAGGATGCTGTTTTGAAGGGACACACGCACCCCCATGTTTATAGCAGCACTGTCCACAATAGCCAAAGTATGGAAAGAGCCCAAATGTCCATCGACAGATGAATGGATAAAGAAGATGTGGTATGTATACACACACACACACACACACACACACACACACACACACACACTGGAGTATTACTCGGCAATCAAAAAGAATGAAATATTGCCATTTCATGGATGGAACTGGAGGGTATTATGCTAAGTGAAATTAGTCAGAGAAAGACAAATATCATATGACTTCACTCATATGAGGACTTTAAGAGACAAAACAGATGGACATAAGGGAAGGGAAACAAAAATATATATAAACAGGGAGGCGGACAAAACAGAAGAGACTCAAATATGGAGAACAAACTGAGGGTTACTGGAGGGGTTGTGGGAGGGGGGTAGGGCTAAATGGATAAGGGGCATTAAGGAATCTACTCCCGAAATCATTGTTGCACTATATGCTAACTAATTTGGATGTAAATTTTAAAAAAATAAAATTAAAAAAAATAGTATGAGCTTATTGAGCAAGAACTATGTATTATTTATTTTTCCAACCCATTTCACACTGTCTTCCACTATGTAGGTCACCTCCTTCCTGGGGGTGATTCAGTATACATGAATGAAATTTTCTGTTCACCCACTGGAAAGCTTTAAAAATTTTTAATTTTTTTGGTGTCAGCTTTATTAATATAATTCGCATGCCACATACCACTCATTGTTAAGTATTCAATTCATGTTTTTTAGTATATTCAAAGAGTTGTGCAACCATCATCACAGTTGATTTTAAAACATTTCATCACACCCAAAAGAACCCCTAATTCTTTAGCTATCACTCCCCAGTCCCCCCTTTCCCTCCCAGCAGTGGACAAACAGAAATCTATTTATTTAAAAAAAATTTTTTTTTTCCAACGTTTATTTATTTTTGGGACAGAGAGAGACAGAGCATGAACGGGGGAGGGTCAGATAGAGAGGGAGACACAGAATCGGAAAGTTTCAGCGCCTGGGTGGCGCAGTCGGTTAAGCGTCCGACTTCAGCCAGGTTACGATCTCGCGGTCCGTGAGTTCGAACCACGCGTCGGGCTCTGGGCTGATGGCTCAGAGCCTGGAGCCTGCTTCCGATTCTGTGTCTCCCTCTCTCTCTGACCCTCCCCCGTTCATGCTCTGTCTCTCTCTGTCCCAAAAATAAATAAACGTTGAAAAAAAAATTAAAAAAAAAATAGTGAAACTCTCAGTGTTGTTGTCACAATAGATGTATGTATTCTGGACACATCATATAAATGGAATCACATAATATGTGCAAACATTTATATTTTAAATAAAACCAAACGTACAGGTGTAAACATGTAAATCTTTTGTCACTTTCATCATTTCCCTTTGACATGCCATCTCACTTCTCCAAAAAATGTTTTCCACCTGTTATTCTTTCAAAAACATATTTTTAAAATGAATAAGATTTAGTCTTCTTTTCAGGAATATTTAAGTATTTAGTTATACCACTGATCTAATTGAAACTTAAAAAATGCAACCTTTCCTGTGTTAGTACTATTTTAACTTATGGCCATATAAATATACAAATGAATACTTAGGCTCTTCAGATTGAGCATTCCCTTTAATTCCTTCACTGTTGCTTCAATGTCCGTTAGCTCATTGTGGTGTAGCAGGAGGATATGCAATGAAGGTAGAAAGTGCAGGCCTGAAAAACATTATTTTGTACAAAATTTTAAATGCTTTTAATGCTAATTAAACATGCCAATTAAACAAAAGCAAAGAATACATTTCAGCTGGTAAAAGGAGTCACTACTAATGATGTGAATTGTCATTGAGAATACAACAAAACATAAGAATTTGAATGATTGAGTGTGATGTGGGAATGTAGAGTCAATTTCTTCCCACTGTTATTGTTTTACATTTTTTCCTGTAGCTATCATTTTTCTGTTTGATTTCAGAGAGGTTATTTTCTTTACTCTTCTTCTTATTGTTTTGTTTTGTCACTGTTACTTAGATTTATAAGGCCAATCAAGGGAATAATTACTCATTTGAATTGGTACTTTCCCCGAAATTGCGCAGCTAAATATTTTCTTCACACAATAGGAAGAATATTCACATTACTTTTGTTGATTCTAAATTTCACATTTCCCCGCATTTTTAGCATAAATGAAAGTGGGTTGTGTCTTTACTATAGCCACATCATAGTTGAATTGGAAGATTTTCTTTCTTCACAGTACATGAAATCATGGTGGATCTTTTTTTTTTTTTAATGTTTATTTATTTATTCTGAGAGTGTCTGTGTGCAAGCAGGGGAGGGGCAGAGAAGGAGATCCCAAGCAGGCTCTGCACTGTCAGTGCAGAGACAGAAGCAGGGCTCCATCGTGCAAACTGTGAGATCATGACCTGAGCAGAAATCAAGAGTTGGATGCCTAATGGACTGAGCCACCCAGGTGCCCCGAACTCACGGTGGATCTTAAAATTTATGGTATTTTGATCCTATGATACATGATATTAAAAAAATGTTTTGTGCTGTACCTTTTGTATTTCATGATCATAGTACATCATGTACTTTTATGTCTGACTTGAAACTGTCAGCTTAGATACGTAAAATTAATTCAGAGTGAAAGAGGAATTTGTCTGGCAAAAATTATAGCCACTAAAAACATTAAGAGTATTTGTAAAATCTTCATAAAGTTTACAAAGTTTGAGTGGCAAAATTTCTATTTAAAAAAAATTTTTTAACGTTTATTTATTTTTGAGACAGGGAGAGACAGGGAATGAACAGGGGAGGGTCAGAGAGAGGGAGACACAGAATCTGAGGCAGGCTCCAGGCTCTGAGCTGTCAGCACAGAGCCCGACGCGGGGCTAGAACTCACGGACCGCGAGATCATGACCCGAGCCGAAGTCGGCCGCCCAACCGAGCCACCCAGGCGCCCCCAAAATTTCTATTTAAAACATTCTTTTACATTTTGAATAAGGTATATGACAATATTTCACTAAAACTGTAGTCTAAAGCACATTTCTTTCTTTTTTTTATTTTTTTAATTTTTTTTTTTCAACGTTTTTATTTACTTTTGGGACAGAGAGAGACAGAGCATGAACGGGGGAGGGGCAGAGAGAGAGGGAGACACAGAATCGGAAACAGGCTCCAGGCTCTGAGCCATCAGCCCAGAGCCTGACGCGGGGCTCGAACTCACGGACCGCGAGATCGTGACCTGGCTGAAGTCGGACGCTCAACCGACTGCGCCACCCAGGCGCCCCTCTTTTTTTTTTTTTTTTTAACATTTATTTATTTTTTGAGAGACAGAGTACGAGCAGGGGAGGGGCAGAGAGGGAGACACAGAATCCAAAGCAGGCTCCAGGCTTGTCAGCAAAGAGCCCGACCTGGGACTCAAACCCAGGAACTGTGAGATCATGAGCCAAACTCGGCACTTAATTAACTGAGCCACTCAGGAACCCCTAAGGCACATTTCTTAAAATGAAATGTATATGAGAGCATTTTATTTTTATGTATTTATTTTTTTAATGTTTATTCATTTTTAGAGAGAGAGAAAGAGAGCGCACGCGAGTGGGGAAGGGATGGAAAGAGAAGGAGACACAGAATCCAAAGCAGGCTCCAGGTTCTGACCTGTCAGCACAGAGCCCAATGTGGGTCTTGAACTCACAAACTGTGAGATCATGACTTGACTGGTAATCGGATGCTTAAATGACTGATCCACACGGGCATCCCCATAAGAGCCTTAAAAAAAATAGATTTCACTACATATTACCAACAGAAATATTAAAACAGATTATTGCCGGGGTGCCTGGGTGGCGCAGTCGGTTAAGCGTCCGACTTCAGCCAGGTCACGATCTCACGCTCCGTGAGTTCGAGCCCCGCGTCGGGCTCTGGGCTGATGGCTCAGAGCCTGGAGCCTGTTTCCGATTCTGTGTCTCCCTCTCTCTCTGCCCCTCCCCCGTTCATGCTCTGTCTCTCTCTGTCCTAAAAATAAATAAACGTTGGAAAAAAAAAAAAAATTTAAAACAGATTATTGCCTGCCATTAGCTATATGATAGTTACCAGCTATTACTCAATTGAAAATCTATTCAAACAGCAGAAAAAATGTAAGACATACCTTCTATCTCGAATATGGCATTGTTGTTTAGATATAGTTCTGTCAGACAATAGTTTCTAGTTAGAAATGTTATTCCATGGAGCTGAAAATGAGAGATAATAATATATTTTCTATAGTAATTATATATATAAATGTGTATGTATATACATATATGTATAAAGTTATAATAAGATCATAGAAGTTTGGTGTTTGCTGTTATTATTATTTGTCACCTATTGGTTTGGGCCATGCTTTCACATCTGGACTGTCTGAGGACTTTGTGATGAAAAGGATGTGTTCAGATCATTGAAGACAAACCTTTCATAATGTCTTGACCAAACTTCTTTGCATGGTTTTCGAGGCCCCTGTAATCTGGCCTAGCCCCTTTGCTCTATCTAACCTTGTTCCCTCCCAGTTCTGCCTCCTGCAGTCTCATTGGAGGTGGTCCCATGTACCCACTGATTCACCATCACACATTATTTAGTGACTAGTGTGTGCCGCGGACTCTGTCCTCAACGGTGAAGCCATCTCTGCAGCTGTGTGTGAGTCACGCCTTCTCTTTAGCCTGCTTGACTTTTCTCTCTGGTACATTTCCCATAATTCTTAAGGATCAGCCATTGGCCGGCAGAGCGAATCAAACCATCCTTGAGTGGACCTCCATAGGAGGTGTCCCCTCCTCGGAGGATTTGCTGAGCCATCCTTTGATCTCCTGGCATCTCACTACTGTCTTCTTCTCACCCTGTTTTGACCCACTTTTTGTTTCATGAAACTTGCACCTGCTCCAGCTCTTGGAGTCTATGAACCATCTCTGCTCCTCCAGCTCACTGTCCTTCTGTAAGCAGATCTCAGTTTAGCAGAGAATGGTGTAATCTGAATGCACACAAGAGGGCAGGCCCAGTGTTAACATCCTGACCAGCCACAACTCTTAGGGCAGGAAAGGGCAAGGCACAACATCACCCTGTGGCTTAACAGCCCATCTTTTTAAACAAGGACTTTCTTGACAACCTCCACGCCCATGAACCTCCATTGTCTTGACCATTCCCATACTTCATTTGACTTATACAATTAATCACTTGCTTGCTAGTTTTATGTCTTCATTAAGGAAAGGAAAACCATATTTCTTCGGTATCTTATTGCCTCCACCCCCTCCCCCATTTTCTTAACAATATGGTGAAGTCACATCTTATTTTTAAGATCAGTTTTGAAATTTAGTTATATGAACTGCAAAGAGTCAAAAGCACTCTTGAAATTCCTCAAATGAACCATTAAGTACTATACCCAGGAAATGGGGTATTCCACTCTAAACTGAATGCCAGAAGTGGCTCTGTTACTCTACCAAAACTCCATTAAAAAAAAAAAATTGACTCTATAACTTGGGTAAAATTTAACAATTTGTTTGAGTTGTGAGGACGGATGAGTCAGAGGCAGGGCGGTATCTTCTAAAAGCTGCAGGTAAGTGAAATATAAGGCTATCTGTCTACTTAGTACAGGATTTATCAGGGAGACTATTCCCATTAATAGTTATTGACCAAGTGCTTCGTATTTTATAAATACAAAAGTATATGCTCATGATTATACATTAGTTTTAAGTGTTTATTAAAGCTTATCATAGGAATTATTGTTATCAGTGAAATGTTTTTGGCCTTTGATGGATTGATTCAGATAGATGCCAACCGTGTGATGAAGTGAGGATTCATTGCGAATTTTAGTCACGCCCTCTCATAGCTCAGAAAAGCTATGTTAGATTTGTGTCCCAAGTTGCACAACTGATTTCTTTAATGAATTGTTTTTTTATTTTTCTGTTGTTGTTATATTTGCAACATTTGCAAATTACGAAGCTATAAAAGGCACATGTGCTGTTTATCTCATCATTTCACAGATTCATCTGCACCAAATTATGTCAGCGCCCGTGCAGGAGGACCACCAGTAATTTCACCACAGCTTTTGTTAGGTCATAAGAGGGGCTGTGTTCTTCCCAGGTAGGAGACCTAGCAACACAATGAGGGGCGGATCCCAGTTGGCTTCCTATCCCTTTCTACTCTTCCTTCTGGCCTCCTGACAGCAACTCACTGCCTTCCTTCCCCTTACCACTCCCTGATCTAATGATAGCCACACCCGACATAAATATAGAAAACAAACCCCATTGGAAAGCATGACTTTGTCTTCTCTTCTTTTCCAGTTGCCTGCCCGACCACACATTGACAGAACATTTCTAATTAGTCAGGGCTTTAATTTCTCTTGCATTACTTATTAACACAGAAAGAAGACTAATAAACTCCATAATTTCATCTTGATTATAGCATCACAGTTTTCACAAGAGCATTAATGTCATTGTACCATGATTACTGGGATTTTAAGACTGCACTGTTTGTTGGGGTGAGATGCATAGGAGAATGGGGTGGAAAGAGATAAAGCCAGATCATGAGGACCCTGGGAGCTATTACAAGATTTTGTGCACAGGAGTGTTACTGTTCAATTTTATTTTAGAAAGAAAATGGCAGAGAAGAAAATGGTTTAGAAAGGATAGTAAGTATAATGGGAGGAGTTGAAAAAAAAAGGGTGTTACGCTAATTCAGAAGAATATATGGTGGCCCAGAGTAAAGTAATGACAGGGAGAAGAGAGGTAGAGGGTATTGAGAGAGAGACAGCTCTAAGGTAGAATTCACAAGGCTGAATAGGCATTGCAATGTAGTAAGTTGTTGAAGGCAAGATCTAGGCATGAGAATTGGACACATGCTGATTGTTCTGACATTCATACTGACAGTGTTAAAGTAAAACGTTATTATAATTATCCATTTAGAAAAGTCTACACTATTAATTCTAAGGATCGCCTTAGGATTTATATTGGATGTGACATTTCACAAATCATTTATTTTAGCTCAAGACTTGGCACATAACAAATGCCCAATAAATCACAGCTATTATTATTTCACCATTATTATTATTATTATTTTTTTTAGAGAGAGAGAGTTGAGAGTACTTAAAGCACTTACAGGTAACCACTGAAGTACTAGTGGAGAAAAAATTATGCCAGCATGAATTTAGAATTGAAGAGGCATTCATTTATTTATTTTTAAATGTTTATTTCTTTTGGGGGGGGGAGAGAGAGAGAGAGACAGAGAGAGAGAGAGGAAGCACAAGCTGGGAGAAAGCAGAGAGAGAGGAAGAGAGAGAGAATCGCAAGCAGGCTCCACACTGTCAGCACAGAACCAGATGTGGGGCATGATCCCACAAACTGAGATCACGACCTGAGCCAAAATCAAGAGTTGGACACTTAACCGAGTCACCCAGGAGCCCCATGGAGGCATTCTTTTAGAACAGGGCTTCTCCACCTCTACAACTACTGACATTTTGGGCCAGAATATTCTTTGTTGGGGTTGGGAGGGCTGTCCTGTGCATTGTAGTATGTTTAACAGCAAATCTAGTCTCTACCCACTAGATGCCAGTAGCACACACACACTCCACTTGTGACAGTCAAAAATGTCTCCAGAGAGTGCCACATGTCCCCTTGCAGGGAAAAGAATGGGGGTGGGGGGCTGTGTGCAGTCACTGCTGGTTGATAACTGCTGATTTAGAGTCAAGGGGAGAGGGAAGAGTCATATTTATTAAATGCTAACTATTAGTTGGCCCCTGAGCTAGATGTTTTCACAGACATTATCTAGTGTGATGCTTACAATAGCCCTTTGTTATTTGTTTTATCCCTTATTTATCTAGGAGGAAACTGAGGCTCCGTGAAGTTAACCAACTTTCTCAAGGTAACAACAGAGCAAGGATTAAAATCCAAGTCTGTCTGACTCTTGGATCAAAAACTGGCCTATAGTACACCATAATTTGGTTCCTTAAAAAAGAGGAACCTCTATATAAAGTAACCAGAAGACATTAATTTGAACATACATACTTTGAAGTAATAGAAAATATTATCAGTTTAAGTAACGGAAAATACTCTATAAATTATTTTTCTACTATATCAGCAATGTTTTTCACCAAAAATCATATTTAAAATATACCCCAAAATATTTGGTGTGAAACTGACAAAAAATAGGAGAATTAATCTCTAAACATATATGTCCAGTATATACTGAGCCAACTAAAATTCCATGATGTATATTGTAAAGCTACTTGAAAAAAAGGTAGTAATCCAAAGAATTCTTTACCAATATTTAAAATAGCACATTAAATATTATTATTTCATTTTTCAAATGCTCTAAGCCGTTTTTAGAACAAGGTATGTTTTACATAAATGAATAAATAAATATATTTATACCCAAACCTTATTGAAAGAACCAATTAAAGTTGTATATATTGGCTTATGGAATATTTTTCATCACTCAATCTAAAAGTTTCCATTACTCAAACTAAGAGTATTTTCTACTCAAAATATTTTCAAATTAATGTCTTCTGGATGATACGTATATCAATTTATTTAATCTTCATGATAAACTCTTAAGGTAAGAGTACTATCATTACCTTATTTTAAGAAGTGAAACTGAGGTACAGAACTGTTGAGTAATTTGTCCAAGATTACACAGCTAGCATATGGCAGAACTGAGGTTGACTCAGGCTCCAGCGTCCTTGCTGGGAACCACTGCACTTCATTACCATCCAGAGTAGGAAGCTGAGCTGTCAGTCAAGCTCATTTCCAGGCTCAGCTTGAGTCAGTGGCTTGACTTGCCCCATTCACTAGATCTAATGTTGATCTCTTGGGTAATTGGGTATCTCTCAAAAATTGCTTGCATCTGGCTGACCTACAACCTACCAAGTTTCAAAAACCTAGGGGCAAATCACCGTAGGCCAGTGATTAAAAAACAGATGGGCGGGGGGGGGGGGGGGGGGGGGGGGG